TTAACTAGCAGTCTGTATGGTCGTGAGATGAACAGAAAATATTTTTACTCCATATTCTCCAATTAATAAGCACTGAGACCACACACGGAAAAGCCAGGGCATTAACAAGGATAACGCCGTTGTAAGTCTCATTATTTTCGTTCTCCGCTGCGTAACATGCGATCTGGCAGGTTGAATCGACCGACGGTCGAGTCCAAGACCGTCGTGGCAGCCCAGCTAGCTGCTTCGACTTTTCCAGTACCTCGGCGGCGGGAATCGAACTCTGCTTGTGTTTACTGGCTCGTATCGAAGGTGATCTCCATCACACGAAAAAGGGAAGTCGGCTAAATCCGCATCCTCTACTAGACAAGCCGCGCAAAGTTATAAAATTGGCATCACTATGCAAAGTGATCGACAAGTTCGCTGTTCTTTTTACTTGTCGTGTAACTTCAACCTTCAATCAGTTATCACAAGGACCACGAATTAAATCTGCACCAAAGTGGCTGCAGCACCTGGTTAAAAGATGACTGCATGCTCAGTCACAATTCAAAGATGAGCTTTGCGATTCTCTCATTGCATCCTTGACAAACTCGGTTGGCTTCACTGAATCACTGAAACAAAGCAATTCGCTAGTCCATCTCTTCGCAACGTTTGGATCTTGTGAACTTGGCTCACAAACATAATACTGTTTCGCACCAACCTTTTTTGATGATGCTCTTTTTACGTATAGCTTAGCTTAAACAAGCATATATGGTCATAATTGGGTAACTCAAGTTCGACGTCTTAATCACGAGAAGAAATAAAGTGAAAATTTCCCTTTAGAGTTACAAATGCACTATTATTCCGTCCAGTTTGATTACAATGTAGAGTCCTACTAGATGGCAAATCACCAATTTAACTTTTCTTGTTCAAGCAATCTAAGGTATACTGAAAGTTTTCATGTCAAAAAGTCTTGTCACTAAGCAATCAACGGCAAACGGCACACGGCTTTTTTATTGTAGGCTCCCGGAAATTCGAAAAACGTGAAGAAATGTTTTTGTTGTTGTGTGACCAACGCAATATTAAGTCCACTAACGCAATATTATGGCGATAGAGTAGATAAAGGGACTGTTTGTACAAAAGACTGTTTGGAAGGGTGCTCAACTGTAAACTGATTTCATACACGCCAGATAAAAAAAAGACAAAATAGCAAAACTGACGAAAGTTACGTTAAGTAAGTTCTATTAATATCTATTCTTTTGCTGGTTGCCACAGTCAAGCACCGAAAATGAGACGATTTGACTAAAACGCAAGACCCGGAAGCTGTTATTGTCCTCCTTTGGAACTCACCACGTTCAGACTGGACCTGATTTATCGCTCGTTGGTGGTAGGAGAACGAAAGCCTGCCAGCAAGTGATTGGGTTTGAAATTCCGTGTTTCACGCGAGAAGTTCCAAACCAAATTCTCTGCTCCCCAGGACGACCATCAGTGTGACCATTGGACTTGTGTTATTCGACACTCTTGGAAAGAATAGAGAGCTTTCGCTGTATACTTTCTATTGACGGTAGATGCCTTCTGATTCAACTTTAACCAAGATTAACCGTTTATTCGAAGAAAGAGCAGCCTGCGAGCAGAAATTCTGGTTTGGAATTTCACGTTTCATGCGAGAAAGTCCAAACCAAAGAGTCTGCTTAGCAGGACCTCAACATGATATGACCGTTTCATTTGACGCACGTGGTCAACGCACACATCAAAAAAACGAAGGGTGTTTTTGCCGTTCACTTTTTACTGGTGGTCGGTGACAAATTCAATCAGATTTCATAGTTTATTTGGGGAAGGAAGGCTATAGCCTGCAAGCAATAATTCTGGTTTGGAATTTCACGTTTCATGAGAGAAATTCCAAACCAGAGAGTCTGCTTAGCAGGACCTGTGTTTTTGCAGTGTACCTTTTAATGGTGGTAGCTGACAAATATAATCGGATTTAACCTTTCATTGACGAAAGAAGAACCAAAGCCTGCGACCTGGTGATTTGGTTTGGGATTCAGTTAACATTTAATGGGCAAAATGATTCCAAACCAAATTGTCTGCTCGCTAGGACGACCAACAATGTGACCAATACACTACTGTTATTCAACACGCTTGAACCGAACCAGATGAACCGTTTATTGGAGGATGGACTGATATAGCCTGCGAGAGGACGGCAGATGACGGATTCAACCAGATTCACTGCGTATTGAAGGAAGTAGGGCTGCAGCTTGCGAGCAGGAATTCTGGTTTGGAATTTCACGTTTCACGCGAGAAATTCCAAACCTGAGAGCCTGCTTAGCAGGACCTCAAGATTACGTGACCATCACACTTACATCATTTGACTCACGTGGTCAACACAAACATCAGAAAAACGAAGGATGCTTTTGCAGGGTACTAGCTTACTATTGGTAGATAACAAATTCAACTACATTTAATTGTTGGCTGATGAACTGAGATCAAAAGCCTGCCTATGCTACCAAGTGATTTGGTTTGGATTCCTCATTTGATGCCTGACACTTTTATCAATTAAAAAACGTGGTAAACACATTCTAAATACCCTGGGGAAAAAGGAAAGGTTGTTTTTCCAGTATGCTCTCTACTAACCTACTAAAATTGTTGATTTTTGACATCGGAATGAAGGGATACAGGATATTTAGGCCTAGAATTAACGGAATTTCGGATACTCACACCCTCCCCTTTGAAAAGAGCTTAGAGAGTGTACGCTTGGAAGATGACCAGTGTGACCATTAGGTTTATTTCGTCAAACACAAAAACTGTTTAGTACCATTTCCTTAGGAAATAGAGGGATTCTTTTAGTGGTTAACTCCCTTAGATAAGGTAGATCATACTAAATTCAACCAGATTAACCGTTTATTGAAGAATGGAGTGCTATAGCCTGCAAGCAGGAATTCTGGTTTGGAATTTCACGTTTCATACAAGAAAATCCAAACGAGAGAGTCTGCTTACGAGAGAGTCCTCATGTCAGGACCTCAACATGATGTGACCGTTACACTTATATAATTTAACAAACGTGGTAAGAACACACATGAGACAAACGAAGTGTGTTTTTGCAGTGAGATATTTTTACTCCTTACAGCTGACAAATTCAGCCGTGTTTCATCGTTCTTTGGTGGAAGGAGAACCAAAAGTCTGCGAGCATGTGATTTGGTTGAGAATTCCACGTTTAATACGAGAGAGTTAGCTCGCAATTGGGAGGAGAACCGTCAATGTGGCCGTAAGACTTGCATGACTTGACACACTACGCTTATGGGATAAACGAGATGTTTCTTCATGTTGATTTCTAAATGCAGTAGACGGTACATTAAAAGTCGAGTGAGTTAGCCCGTATTAGGGGTTTTCGAGATACGGGATATAATTTGGCTACAACATTAATCGAATATAGAATATTAAGGGCAAACAAATTGTTAATTTTTGACATTAAAATTAACGGAGAGGGTATATTCAGCTGAAAAATCAACGGAATATTGGGTTTTCGTAGGTCGCTCTAGTTTGGGCCCAACCAACTGTCTGATGGGAAAAAGCGGGATCGTTTTTCCGGTTTCAACCGGATTTCATCGTTCGTTGACAAAGCAGAACCAAAGCCTGCCAGCAAATGATTTGGTTTTGAATTCTACATTTAATGCGAGAAATTCCAAACCAGATTGTCTGCTCGCTAGGACGAATATCAATGTGATCATTAGACGTAGGTCATTGGAAGTTCGTTGGAAGGATAGAGAGTGTCTTTGCTGATTACTTTGCTAATTTTAAACATTAAAATTGACGGATAGGAAATGTTTCAGGTCAAAAATAACCGTTTGTTGAAGGAAGGAGGGCTATAGCCTGCGAGCAGGAATTCTGGTTTGGAATTTCACGTTTCATGCGAGAAACTCCAAACCAGCGAATCTGCTTAGCAGGATCTCAACATGATAGGACCGTTACACTTGAGAGCTTCTGCCTGAGAGACTGGGGCAGACTTGGAAATGAAGGATGACCGATTTCGCTTAAAATTGGTACACAAAGTCGTTATGTGGACTTACGTAATATGCGAAAGTTTCAGCTTCAACGACCATTTTTTAGCCGAGTTCTTGATATCAGCCCCTCAGGGGTCCCCAGAGGCGTATTTTCAGTGTAATTTTGGCCACTTTTCAATCTCTCTTT